ACATGGCAAGAGAGGCAATTAATTCAAATTGTGATAATCGGGGCTGAGCTGACATTTAAGAGATACCTATTTGCCAGAATGGAACCAGTTGCCTCGCTGATTAAGAGTAGTAGTTCCGCATGACAGTAATTGGCTAATTGTGCATCTGATTTAAGTGCTGTCTGGGAGTGCAAAAGGCTGGTGAGGCAAACGGTGATTGACGCTGCGTGTGGCGTGCACTAATGACGCACTGTTCCCACTCTGTTGACGTCCTGTCCCCGACGTGTTCACGCTCTGTTCACGCTCTGTTCAATCTGACTCTGTTAAGGCTGTTTACAGTGACAATTCTTTCTGAAATGTCTTGAAGTTTGGGGTTGCATTGATGCCACTAATCTCCATTATAAACATCAAACACTTAGTGTCACTGATTAACCCGTTTTCTCATAACGTCACCTTTCAGACAAACGGACGGACGGACAGACAGACAGACAGGCAGGCAGACATTTTATCCAGTAATAGGCCATAAAGTATGACTTATGCATGGATTTACAGTCGTTTTACAGAAAAAAAACATCAGAATTTCTAATTTCCTATATATTAAATTATATAAAAATAGGCATAAAATATGTACAACATTTATATTTGTTGAAGACATTATGTTAACAAACTGTGTTGTGATAGAGGGTGTTTCAAATATTTATCGAGAAAACTATTCCTTATATCTATGTAGGCTTTACAATAAAGTAAACCATGTATTTCGCCTTCAATTAAATTAAGATTATTTTTGGGGCCAAAAGGACAAATCTTGAATCATAAGGGACATTGCTATAACTACCATAACGGAGATTGTTATACCTACCATAAGGGACATTCTTATATCTATCATAACGGACATTGTTATATCAACCATAAGGGACCTTGTTTTATCTACCATAAGGGACATTGTTATATCTACCATAAGGGACCTTGTCATACCTTCTATAAGGGACATTGTTATATCTACCATAACGGACATTGTTATATCTACCATGAGGGACCTTGTTTTATCTACCAAAAAGGACATTGTCATACCTACTATAAGGGACATTGTTATATCTATCATAACGTACATTGTTATATCTACCATAATGGACATTGTTATATCTACCATAACGGACATTGTCATATCTACTATAAGGGACATTGTTATATCTATCATAACGGACATTGTTATACCTACCATAATGGACATTGTTATATCTCCCATAATGGACACTGTCATATTTACCATAAGGGTCATTGCTATATCTACCATAAGGGACATTGTTATATCTCCCATAATGGACACTGTCATATTTACCATAAGGGACATTGTTATATCTATCATAACGGACATTGTTATACCTACCATAATGGACATTGTTATATCTCCCATAATGGACACTGTCATATTTACCATAAGGGTCATTGCTATATCTATCATAACGGACATTGTTATATCTACTATAAGGGACATTGTTATATCTACCATAACGGACAATGTCATACCTATTATAAGGGACATTGTTATATCTACCATAAGGGACATTGTTATATCTACCATAACGGACATTGTCATACCTACTATAAGGGACATTGTTATATCTACCATAAGGGACATTGTTATATCTACCATAAGGGACATTGTTATATCTACCATAAGGGACATTGTTATATCTCCCATAATGGACACTGTCATATTTACCATAAGGGTCATTGCTATATCTATCATAACGGACATTGTTATATCTACCATAAGGGACATTGTTATATCTACCATAACGGACAATGTCATACCTACCATAAGGGACATTGTTATATCTACCATAAGGGACATTGTTATATCTACCATAAGGGACATTGTTATATCTACCATATAAGGGACATTGTCATACCTACTATAAGGGACATAAGGGACATTGTTATATCTACCATAAGGGACATTGTTATATCTACCATAAGGGACATTGTTTATATCTACCATAAGGGACATTGTATATCTACCATAATAAGGGACATTGTAACGGACATATCTATCATAACGGACATTGTTATATCTACCATAAGGGACATTGTTATATCTACCATAAGGGACATTGTTATATCTACCATAAGGGACATTGTTATATCTAACATAACGGACATTGTTATATCTACCATAAGGGACATTGTTATATCTACCATAATGGACATTGTCATATTTACCATAAGGGTCATTGCTATATCTATCATAACGGACATTGTTATATCTACCATAAGGGACATTGTTATATCTACCATAACGGACATTGTTATATCTACCATAAGGGACATTGTGGACATATCTACCATAACATAACGGACATTGTTATATCTACTATAAGGGACATTGTTATATCTACCATAAGGGACATTGTTATATCTACCATAAGGGACATTGTTATATCTACCATAAGGGACATTGTTATATCTACCATAAGGGACATTGTTATATCTACCATAAGGGACATTGTTATATCTACCATAAGGGACATTGTTATATCTACCATAACGGACATTGTTATATCTACCATAAGGGACATTGTTATATCTACCATAACGGACATTGTTATATCTACTATAAGGGACATTGTTATATCTACCATAAGGGACATTGTTATATCTACCATAACGGACATTGTTATATCTACCATAAGGGACATTGTTATATCTACCATAAGGGACATTGTTATATCTACCATAACGGACATTGTTATATCTACCATAAGGGACATTGTTATATCTACCATAAGGGACATTGTTATACCTACTATAAGGGACATTGTCATACCTACTATAAGGGACATTGTTATATCTACCATAAGGGACATTGTTATATCTACCATAAGGGACATTGTTTTATCTACCATAAGGGACATTGTTAAATCTACCATAAGGGACATTGTTATATCTACCATAAGGGACATTGTTATATCTAACATAAGGGATATTGTTATATCAACGTCACCTTTCTTCTTCAGGAAACATCTTCATCCCTTGCATACACCATTACTCATTGAATACGTCACCATCCACAGAATACGTCCTTACTCCCAGAATACATTATCATCCCTTGTATATATCCTTACTTTAGGAGACAGCTTTACTCCTAGAATACATCGTCATCCCAGAAATACATCCTAAGCCTTTGTATACATCCTTACCGCTAAGGCACATCTTCATCATCTAACAAAATCAAAATATCTCTAGATACATCGTCACCCCAAGAACATACCATAAAGGCCAGTGAGAAACAATCAGGTATTATTTTTCAGGCATTACCTCTAAAATGTGAATCATGATTAGTGTGTTAAGAATGAGTCAGCTTTCAACGTTAAGAACACACAATAAAAACTGAAAATAACTTTCTTACATATTTATATGATGAAATCATGAGTCACAACACGAATGCAGGATGTTTAGCTCAGTCTGTTAGTCCAATGTGTCCGGTTTGACCAGATTGTGAATACATTATGAGTATACAACTTCCACGCCATTGTTGATAGAACTACTGTAGGATCATTGTGACCAAGCTTTTCAATAAGTAAATTACGTAAATGCTTTTCATTAATACGAGTGAATGGATGTTTTTTTGTCAGGATTACAAATATATCAAGTGGTGAGCAGCGCTGTGGCCGTTGTGGTACGATGACCCTCCACATGTCCACTGCCATGTATATATGTATATGTATATGTATATGTATATGTATATGTATATGTATATGTAAGTTTAGTAAAGTATTATATGTTCAAAACATATAAGACCATGTGCATATTAGTATTTACAATAAAAATGAATCAATAGAGGGATATACGCATAATGAATGTACATGTATGAATGCTTAATCATCCACAGAATGCGTCCTTATTCCCAGAATACATCATCATCCCTTCAATACATCCTTACTTTAGGAGACATCCTTACTCCTTGAATACACTGTCATATTTACCATAAGGGACATTGTTATATCTACCATAAGGGACATTGCTATATCTACCATAAGGGACATTGCTATATCTACCATAAGGGACATTGTTATATCTCCCATAATGGACACTGTCATATTTACCATAAGGGCTAACATTGACAATGCTATATCTACCATAAGGGACATTGCTATATCTACCATAAGGGACATTGTTATATCTCCCATAATGGACACTGTCATATTTACCATAAGGGTCATTGCTATATCTACCATAAGGGACATTGTTATCTACCATAAGGGACATTGTTATATCTACCATAACGGACATTTTTTATCTACCATAATGGACATTGTTATATCTCCCATAATGGACACTGTCATATTTACCATAAGGGTCATTGCTATATCTACCATAAGGGACATTGTTATATCTCCCATAATGGACACTGTCATATTTACCATAAGGGTCATTGCTATATCTACCATAATGGACATTGTTATCTACCATAATGGACATTGTTATATCTACCATAATGGACATTGTTATATCTACCCTAAGGGACATTGTTATATCTCCCATAATGGACATTGTTGTATCTACCATAAGGGTCATTGCTATATCTACCATAAGGGACATTGCTATATCTACCATAAGGGACATTGCTATATCTACCATAAGGTATATTATCATCCCTTCAATACATCCTTACTTTAGGAGACATCCTTACTCCTAGAATACATCGTCATCACTAGCATACATCCTAAGCATTTGTATACATCCTTACTGTTAAGGTATATTCTCTTTTTCTAGTCACATTGTAATGTATAAGCTGTGTGGTAGATTAGTAAAAGACAAATGTACTGATGAAACATGGGATCTTGTATAATCACCATCCGTAAGGCGTATGGTGACGTATTGCTACATTATACGTTTTCAGTTCGCAATATCGGTCGTGTCACTCCACCCCCTCTGTGATTACATCTGATATCATCCGATGCGTTCTGAGTTGGAGACGGGACGTTTTCCTATAGAAGGATGTGTGTGACCCAACCTACCAGTTCAGAGCACCAGGCACAGTTTCCTCCTGACGTCACACACTGACCGCACGTCCTTCCTTGACAGGCATAGCAGGCTGAAACAAATACCACACAATAACATGAAACAAGTACCATACAATGTCATGAAACACGTACCATACAATGTCATTAAACACGTACCATACAACGTACCATACAACGTACCATACAATGTCAAGAAACACGTACCATACAATTTCATGAAAAAAAGTTCCATACAATGTCATGAAACACATACCATACAATGTCATGAAACACATACCACACAATAACATGAAACACGTACTATACAATGGCATAGAACACGTACCATACAATGTTATGAAACACGTACCATACAATGTCATGAAACACGTACCATACAATGTCATGAAACACGTACCACACAACACCATGATACGCACACCACACTATAATATGAAACACATACCACACAATGTCATGAAACACGTACCATACAATGTCATGAAACACGTACCACACAACACCATGATACGCACACCACACTATAATATGAAACACATACAACACAATAACATGAAACGCGTACCATACAATGTCATGAAACACGTACCACACAACACCATGATACGCACACCACACTATAATATGAAACACATACCACACAATAACATGAAACGCGTACCATACAATGTCATGAAACACGTACCACACAACACCATGATAACATGAAACACATATCCAACAATAGCATGATACGCCTACCACACAATAACATGAAAAACATACCACACAATACCAAACAATAACATATGAAACGTTTTTACTATGAAACACTACACCAAAGGTTTATGTCTCTGAAATGTTTTTGTAAAGATATTTGTGGTAAAATTGCCTTTTTATACAAAACAAACTGAAAGTAAAGAACCCCTATTTGTCACTTATTGTGGACTTGCTTGAGCTTCACAGGCTCCAGATATTCCATGACTGATGAGGATGCCGTCATTTCCTCATTCACCTTTTGAAAATTACCGCTTGGTCACTGGGAGGTGGGCAACAAACCGAGAACTTCAGTTTGTATACATGTACATTCTAGTCTTCTGGCTATGTCAGAAGACACACACATGCAGTGTATACGCACATATCGAAACCGAAGGCGCACTACCAGAAGTGATGCAAGTTTTACATATCTACAACTTAATCTCTTATGCCATACAAACGTGGTGATATTGACATCGAGCCGAGACGTAACCAGATATACTTCCCATAACAGAAATAACGCTGTTTGTGATTGTATCCAGCACTTTCCGTTTTCACTGTGGCTATAAATGGCCATTTATCCATCTCGAAGCATCAGCTATATATCTATTGCATGTGCTCCTTTCCCACTCGAAAAACAGAAGGACTAGGCTGATGTCGACTATTCGACACAACAGATATTGAATATCGAATCAAAATTTCCCCATGTCTACACGACACTCGCTACACCGCCACTGAGAAAACCATGGCAACGAGACCGGAAGTAGGATAACACCTGTTATCACCACCTGTCATCGGCAATATATCTGTGACTAGTGACCGCGTGAAATACATCTGCCATTCTATCATTATATTAAAGAGAGGGGGATTTATTTCATTAACTCAGTGCACCGTAAAAGCATCCTCCGATAACAGGTGCCCGTGCTTGTTCTGCAAAGGATCTCAACTTAAGATTTATCCAGATGAGGTCATTATGAGGTCATGACATAATTACGATACATTTTTCAATTATTTCCATATATACAAATTATGCTTAAAAATAACATCACGTTCTTGGCAAGGCAAGGCTATGACAGGAGTTATACACTAATGTAAAGAGATGAAGCAACAACATGTCATGTTCCCGAACGCGAACCATATGCTCACCTACAAAGATACCACAACACGTTCATGTTGGTAGTTTCCTTGATGGAGTTCATGGCAAGTCGACGCGTTATCTTTGTACTGAAACACATTACGTGTCACGGCATGTTTGTGACCCGCAATGAAAATTATCACAAGAATATGAGTTTACAAAACGTCAGATGCAAAAATTCACAGTCTCAAGATCTGTGCGAAGAAACACGGTTGCTTAAACTGGGACCCGAATCTCAATTGCCTGAACTCCGCTCTGAAATCATACACTTGAAAGTGTGATTGAATAATACAGGTCCAAACAACGTTAGACAAATCAAATACGTCACCATCGAATAATCATTAATTGTTTGTTTCAGTTTTAATCGACATCAGTGTATATCTACATTTCCTCGGCATTGTATTTACAATAAAATCAACAAGTGTTAAGATATTATAATGTTTGTAGTTTTACGTTGGAACGATAAATAGAAACCGATTATACATTGTCTGTGTACATAATGGCACTCAGTGCGGGGTCGGTCAGTTCTCTAGCCTTTAAATCAAGTGGAACATCCAGAACAATAGTGTCATACTCTCGTCCAGTGAAATTAGCATCAGGGTCATTTGGTACTATGACCAAGAAGCCATATTTACTTCTGAAGTAAACATATTTTACAGAAAAGACAGTTCATAGCAAAAAATACAATAAAATGTAATGGAGCCTTGAGACTGTGGAAATCTAGACTTTCCACATATTCTACACTTGCATGGGCTTTCTTGGATATATTTGTTTTTGAGTTGGTATGGTTTAACACCACTTGTAGCAATATTCCAAATTTTCACAGCGGGGACACCAAAATGAGCTTTACACTTATACCCATGTGGGGAATCGAACCCCGGTTTTCGGAGTGACGAGCAAACACTTTATCCACATTGCTAGTAATGTACATTAAGTATAGTCTGCTGGTAAGGAAACAACTATTCCTCGTGTCATCTGTGACCCGTGAAGGTCCGGGTTAGAATCAACCTTCAGTAACCCATGCTTGTCGTAAGAGGCGACTAACGGGATCGGGTGATCAGGCTCGCTGACTTGGTTGACACATGTCATTGGTTCCCAGCTGCGCAGATAGATGCTCATACCTTGCTGTGTCACAAATGTATGCACACTATTGTGTGAAGTTCGTGTGAAAGTTACATTTGGCTTGCTCTCATCTGGACTGAATAATGATGCTAAAGATTATCATCACTGCAAGTAAAATAATATCATGTACAACAGGCAAGTGATAATAGACTGCACTTGCAGAACTGATACTACACGTCACTACATGTCAGGAGGAATATTCGAGTGAGTGAGTGAATATGATTTTACGACGATTTTAGCAATATTTCCAGCAACATCACGGCGGGGTCACCAGAAATGGGCTTCACACACTGTACCCATCTGGGGTATCGAACCCGTGTCTTCGGCGTGACGAGCGAACGCCCTAACCACTAGGCTAACCCACCGCCCGAGGAATTCTTTATGCAAGGAAATGGAAATCAAGATTCCCATCAGTATGACTGGCATCATTAGTTTCGCGCTTTCAGTGAGTGACATTGGCAATATTTCAGCCATATCGTGACGATCGCGCTTTCAGAGTTCACACCGCAACTGTTACTACAGTAAACTGCCTTTATAGCGAACACGCTTGTAACGAACTGAAGGATATTACGAACAATCTTATTGATGTGCATTTTCCTCGAACAACGAACTACGGTTATAACGAAATGAAATAATTGTTTTGTTTAGTTCTCTTGTTATTTTATTTCCATTCATTCCAATCATTTCAAAATGTATTAATATACATATATTAACATAAACATAGAATTATCATTTAGATGTCATATTTAGAACATTTATACAGGATTCCTGAAAAGCTTAAGAAGAGAAAACCAGAAGGCATGAAAGCTTGCATGTTTACCGTTTGAGAATGACCTAAACTTTGTTGTTTGATAATATCTATATATTTCCTGTTGTAAATGTTTAAAATTCGGTTTGACTTTTAAATATTACATTGTAAAGCACAGATTTTGGTATGAGAATAATTGAATTCAAAAGGTTATTATTTATGCCCTTAAATCCAAACAATATTTTCTCTTCATTGAATTCAATGCTTCCTTCAGTATATATTTGCAAGCCATTCTGGGAGTTGTCCCTATATGATTCGTGCACAATGACAGTCATAGAAAACACGTATAATGGTTTCAAGTAGATCATTACATAACGAACATGGAGGGGATTCTCTATATCCCATCTTAAATAATAAATTGTTTCAAAAGAGTTTTGCATTTTGTAAATTTTGGATCCAATAAATTCATTTCAAATACTGAAGAGCTTTTAGCAATATTCCAGCAATATCATGGCGTGGGACACCAGAAATGGGCTTCACACATTGTGCCCATGTGGGGAATCGAATCCGGGCCTTCGGCGTGACGAGCGAACGCCTTAACCACTAGGCTACCCCACCGCCCTAAATACTGAACAGCCTTGCTGATTGTTTATTTTTGATATGTTATAAAGCAGAATGGGCCTAAGATTGGGTTCAACACAAGAGTTGATGTTGCACAGAAAAGATGACACTGATTTCCTGACTCCCTCATGAGTCAAAAAGTCTGTTTTGATATTATATCTTATGAAATAAGTGTTGCTTAATTTAGGCTCGTTATAACCGGAGTTTTCTGAGCCTCTATGTGGAGGAGCATTCGATGTAAACTCGCTTGTCATGTGCAGACAACATGTGTCTAGGATAACGCCGAAATATGCTTCCTGTTTCTACCTCACGATGGAGGCCGACCACAGGATGGGCTCTGAGAGAGGGATAACAGCGGGGGTTGCTCTGGTCAGATTGCGCCCTCTGTTTGGAATTAGGCCATTGTCTGTTGTACATTGCCGCCGTTGTTTGTAATTACAAGTCAAGACCTGACCTACATGTTTTCCTCATAGAGTACACCAAATACCAATTGTGTTTCCCTGTTTGGGGATCAACCGTTTAATGGTCGGCGTTCGCTTCATGTCGAGCAATATTCCAGCAGCTCTAGCCTCAGGTGTTTCCTTTTCACTTTGGACGTACAATCGAGCATATGCTGTTTTCAAATCTCTATTGCTTCCATCTAGAAACTTCGACATTTGTAACAATAAGGTCACTCCATCTGTGTCGATAAATATAAGAATTAACGTGAT